TACTACAACAGAATTATTAATTAAATTTATACATTTTCTATTAACTTATCTTGACCAGAATCAGTTTCAAAACTTTCCAGAATCGCTCTATTTGGCCCAAAAGTTAATGGGATTAGGTCTACGCATAAATAACTATACAACATGCTCAGCATGTAACAAGTTGTATGATCCTGATAAAGTAACAAGAAAGCTTGAACAAATCCCGATATTTCTTTATTGTAATTTTGTAGAATATCCTAACCACCCAATATCTAAGATGAGGCAACCTTGCAACCAACAATTAACAAAAGAGGTACCTACCAAGGATGAAATATTGAATCGCTCTTTGCTTACTTATCCAATAATAAATATTCAAAATCAACTCCAGTTATTATATAGTCAAAGTGGTTTTGAGAAGTCATGCAGAAAATAGGTTAAGAGAAAAATAAGCAATAATTATCTTGCCAATATCTATAAAGATAATATTTAAAAAATATTTAAAGATCAAGATACAAATTTCTTTACTTCAGAGCATGCCGATACACATCTTGGCCTTATGATTAATCTGGACTGGTTTAGTTCTTTCCAAAATTCTACATATTCTACCGGTACAATATATGCAGTTATTTGTAATTTGCTTTGTGAACTCAGATCCAAGCCGCAAAATATACTAACTTTAATATTATTGCCAGGGTCTAAAGAAGTTAAAACACACCATATTAATCATTATCTTGAATCTTTGGTTAATCAATTACTTAAATTGTGGAGTGGAATAGAAATTTCCATATATGAATCTTCTATGGGCAAAAAAATTAAATATGCCGTTATATGCTACTCATGTGACATTCCAGCTGCTAGAAAGTTATATAGACAAATATCAGCAAGGATTGCATATTTTTAATATGAAAAACATGCACAATATAATGCTAGACATCAATCTAACTTTGGAGGATTTGAAGATATGGATGACTGGTTTGTGAAGCGTGATGTTGATAAAATTAAACATGATGTATATGAATGGTTACAATGCAAGACTGAGGATCAAAAAAAGCATCACCTGTCTGAAAAACTGGTAAGATGGTCAGAACTCCATCGTTTCTCTTATTTTAACCTAATCAAACATGTAATTGTGGATCCAATACATTATTTATTTCTAGGAATTGCAAAGTAGATTGTTATGTGTCTTTGGATAAATGATAGAAAATTAACTTCTGATAGTCTTAAACTTATGGATAAAAGAGCAAAAAAATTGCAAATTCTATCAGATATCAGGAGAATTCCTTATAAAATTGCTACAGGAGAAGGATTTTTGAGTATATAGCAGACTAGTGACGAATATTTATAATGATATATACTACTATCATTACTTGGAACTTATTAACAGAGCCAGACCAGCATATTCTTGCAAACTTTGTCAGAGCATATAATCTGTTAGTTTGTAGAATATTAGATAAGGACTCACTTAATGAAGCTCATTAAAAATTATTAAATATAGCAAAGTTAATAGAACGCTATTATGGTCCTGAAAAAATTATACCTAATATTCATTTAAGTTTACATTTGTGTGAAAATTATGAACCATTATATTCATTTTGGTGTTTTTCCTTTGAGTGAATGAACAGAATTTTAGGTAATATTGAACATTATTATAAATATCGATATAGTTTATATAACAATACTGATATTTATATAAAATGCTGATATTTATATAACAATACTGATATTTATATAATAATACTAATATTTATATTTTATAG